CACCAAATACACAAAATAATGTTATTTTTAGCAACATCATATGACCTATATACACTACTGTTCAAAAGTTACATTTTAAAAAAATATATAAAAAAAAAAATGTTATAGTCTTGTAACCAAGAAATGTTATAGTCTTGTAACCAAGTTGAATAATAGCTTGTAACCAAGGCTGCATATATTATACAATATTATACAATAAAACTGTAATATTGTAAAATATTGTTACAATTTAAAATATTTGTTTTCTAAAATCTAATTTATCCATGTCATGAAAAAGCTGAATTTCTGGGTAGTTTATTTACTCAAAAATGTGTAATTTAAAATTAAATAATTAATTATTAATTTCTCATTTTCTCTGCTTATATTCTCCCCCAAGTTTGTCAATAAATGAGCGTAACCATGCACCGGGGCCTTTTAACTGGGCTGTAAACACCAGACACTGCTGCCCAACACCAGTTTGAAACCACTGTGAACTCAAAACACCAGAGGGCACTTATATATCACCACAAAAGGGCTGGTGACTTGTGTGTGTGCATGTGTGAGCCCTGCTGTTTGGTGCTGTTGTGATCTTTGACTACAGAGAAAAAAAAACATGTAGAGGAAGATGTATGTGGGATGTATGTGTCTGTATGTGTTTGAAATCAGAGCACAAACTAAAATGAGCTTTCAGAGGATTGATGTATTGACCCGTTTCAACTCAGTCAAAGCTGACTGATCTATTACCAGAAGAGTCAGACTCTGGCTGAGAAACATATTTATGTTTCAGTGTTTCTAAGAACAGAATGAGAGGAGCAGGAATCTTGTAGTAAAGAATCCTGAGATCTCCTCATGTGCAACCACAAGCTCATGACTGCTTCTCCGACTGCTGACTTTTCCCAGTCACGCCACAAACTAGCCAAGAAACAAAAATCAAAAAATCAATCCGTTCCAAAGTGCATTTTCTAGCAATGGTTTGTAAGTCCCACTTTCAGTCAAAGACAGAGGTTGACAAAGTAAATCCTACACCAAAGCGCCTTGGAGAGCAATAAAGAGTCTTTTCCTTGATAACCTGATCACTATAATCCTTAAAAGAATTTACATCACTGTGCTAAGCATAAGAAGCTGGGATTTTCAACTAGTACTCCATTTTTCTTCATAATCCTTATAAGATTGTACAGACCTATATATGGCAAATGTCATATTTTATATAATATAATACAATATTGCATATATGTATGTGTGTGTGTGTGTGTGTGTGTGTATATATATATATATATATATATATATAGTTTAATAAATAATGAAATAATAATATTGCTGTTTTTCTTATTATTATATTAAAGCAATCTAACTTAATTAAAATGCTAAAAAACAAGATTTAAACAGACATCTTATTTATTTTTTCCCTCAATAACTATTGTTTTTAATGAAGAACATACAGTTATTGAAACTTTTAAATCTCCTATTTACAGTTTTTGTTAACAATACATTAAATATATATATTATATGAATATATATTATATATACAATATATAAATATATTATATATTACATATACAGTATATTGTTACAGTTCTTCTAATATATTATATAGGAGACCTTTGAATATTGTGTTGAACAGGTAAAGGGGGGCCTTCGATTTGAGATCCACTCTTCTAGGTGGTTGTTTACCAGCCCAAATCAAAGAGGCCACCTCATGTCTCTATGATATTCTTGTGCTCTATGAAATTCACTTTTTTCTTTCACATGAATGTGCTGAAAAGCGTGAACGAATGAGTGAGAAAGAAAATCAAGCCCACCTGCAGGCGGTGGCTGCTCCTCGCTGATGGCTCGATTCAGCGATTTGTGCTTCTTGTCTTTGCGCCACTGGCAGCGGTGATGATGATGGTGATGATGATGATGGGCTCGCTCCCTCTCTCTCTCCTGAGTGAGGGTCTGGCCCGGGGCCATCTTGGGCCTCTCCAGGTCATAATCGCTCAGATTAACCTCTCGCACCCCTCTCTGTGGTGTCAACGAGGATGTAGACCGCCGCATGGGACTCACGTCTGCGATAGGCTGTGTGTTGGAAATAAAACATGTTAACGTGTGAAAGATGAAGACATGTAGGAGAGAACACATATCTAGCAAAGTACTAGAATGACAAGTGTCTCAGAGCACTAGACCTGTCACAACAGACGCACAACACCAGCTGAGCATGAAAACACAGTTCCACTGAAGAGCGTCGTTCAGCCCGCTCCTGCGGACACACGCACGCATCAGAGAACAGTGGAACACCGTCACGCTCGATGCAAACACTCTGCTGTTTGAATGCTGTCATCGAATCGTCTCTTACACACGGACTGGACGGCTGGAATAGTTGCTGCATGAACTATCCACAGCCAAGCAGCGGTCACTGATCTATAAAGAGTCACTGGTGCTTTTCTTGCTTAACCTTTGCTGTTAATCTCTAGATAATCTATAGTCTGTATACATGTGCATTTACAGTCTCAAAAAGATATTCATTAAATCTTAAATGGTCCTAAAAGTCACTTTAGACTAGATTCTTTAGAGAATCTGTGACCACTCCTTGGTGATGACTGGAATTTCTACCTTTGTAAGTCTTCTACCAAGACTCATTAGTGCCGCCCAGTGGCATAAGCGTTCAGAACCTCTAAGAAGCAGTGCGTCCCCTCTTCTCATAGTTTAAACAGCCTGAAAAGTTTCATTTGAAGTGACTAATTGCACAAATTATTTTAAGATTGCAATATTAATGCATAATATTGCTGGTTATACTGTATTTTGGATCAAATAAATGCAGCCATGATGAGTATAAGAGACTTCTTCTAAAAAACATTTTTTTAAATCTTACACAAACATTAGTGTATGTGAATACAATCATAAATATGGCTGAAAGATATGTGAAGAGAGGACTGCACTAATCAAAATGATGCACAACCCACTAAATGAAACACACTCATACTTACAGTTAGCACCACACAACATCCAAGATAAAATAAGCATTACATTTTAATCTTTGCTTTTCGTATTGCTATAACTAAACTGTGGTTAATCTGTTCCATTACTTGTAAAATAGTTACCCACAGTGATGAACTACTAAAAATGGCTTTTGTAGTGCATGTTAGTTTTGTGTTTAGCCGGCTAATATGAATTGTGGCTGTATAAGTTTATTGGTATGTTAAAAGAGTGTAAACTCTAAAAGAGCTGGAATGGATAAAGCACACACAAGCCAACATAGAAATGGAGTGGCTGGCAGAGAGATATAGAGGGAGAAAAAGAGAGAAAGAGAGAGTGATTGCAGGTGGAACACTTGTACATACTGCTAGATATGTTCCGGCGGTGTGGCGTAAGTGGCTCCGCTGTTGGGACGGGAAGAGGAAGAGGACACATAGGTGAGGAGAGCAGGGCACTCATGGACACAGTAACAGAGTGAGACAGGAGGAAAGAAATCAGAAGAGAGGGACAGAGTAAAGAACGAGTGATGTTCATGAAAAGTCTGGATATCAAGGTCCAGTATGGTCAGAAAACTGGTGCCTAAAAAATTAGGGATGGTGGATTAGAGACTGTTTGTGCTGAGAGAAAATAAAAGGTGGCGAAAAAGAGTTCAGTGAGTTTGATGTTATAAAGACAGGTGGAGAGAAAGAAGAGACAAACAAGACAGGACAAGACAAGACTAAAGACAAGACATTATAACACAAGGATGCTGGACACTGTGTGAGTCTATTAGCGATGTGGCAAAAATACCAAATCAAAAGAAACAAAGTATGTACACAAATAAACTTACAGTTAAAAAGCAACATCAAATAATTACATTAGTTAATGAGGAAAAACTCAATATGAAATATACAAAAAAAAAATTACATTAGTATTATTACTGTTAACTACGACTATTAAAAATAGCTTTTGTTAATTGAAAAAAGCTAAGAAAACAAAAAATATAAAAAATATTTGAACAACTTAAACTTAAATTAGAAAACTTAAATTAGAATAAATAAATTAAATGTTGCCTTAGCAACTAAATAAAAATGAATAAAAAGTTGAATTACTAAAATAACTACAACTGAAAAAATATAGATTAATAGATATTTTTAAATAGCACAAACTAATTAAAATGACAGAAACACATAAAATGAATATACTAATATAATTTATACTAAAATGAAAATAAAAAATAAAAAAGAAAGAAAGCTCATTCAAAATATGAATAAATATTATAATACTACATAATAATACTAAAACAACACTGAATTACAATCTACATTGTGAATAAAGATTTTTCAAAGTTGTAAATAAAACAGATTATTGGAGTACATTTTACAAGAAAATACTGTTTCAGTCTTTCAACTTTAAAAATGTTAAATTCAATGTTTGTGCTGTTTCTTTGTAATTAATTGTGAAATTCACTAGCAATTTCTGAGTAAAAGTTGTCTCTGCACTATTTAATGTCAGTGTATATGATATAAATATAATTTAAAATAAACTAAAATATTTAATTCCAACAAAGATAAAAATAAAACATTCCTATATAGTTCTGTATAGTGTGAATATACTGTACGTAGACTTTGCATTGTCCCTCATCTTCTCTTTTTCACTCTCTCTCTCTCTCTCAAACACACACACACATGCATACACACACGCATACGCATACACACACACACACTCACAGTCTGTATAGTCTGTACGTAGACTTTGCATTGTCCCTCATCTTCTCTTTTTCACTCTCTCTCTCTCTCTCATCTCTCTCAA